GGCAGGTATCAGTGAAGATCCCTGCAGAAACCAAACTAACCCCCCCCGCACCCCCCCCACCATGAATTCTCTGGGATGATCGCTGTACCCCTCCCCCCACCGCGTGGCTGGTTACAGGGAAGATCCCTGCTAGCCAAACGTGAAAAGCTCAGGGCCAATTCCCCCCGCTGTGCTTGGCTAACTGCAGGGAAGGATTTCTTTTCAGCCACAGGCAAACAGCCCAATAGGAACGGCCACCTCTGTCCCCTTAATTAAGTTCCCGTATTTCAACCAGGTTACCATGAGCGATATCACTCTCCTGAGGATTACACAGCAAGATAAAGAACGGATGTTGCTTGAATGCCAGCAAACACCGGGACCATACGCTGCCAGGCTTTGTCAGGCAATGATACCAGATTACTTGCTGCAAGCATGGCGTGGTCAAGTGTCCTACCATGGAGGACGGAATAAGGCTGCACTGCCCAGAAACCTTGTGGCAAGGCTTTTGGAGTACCTCCAGGAGAGCTTCATGGAGATGTCCCTGGAGGATTTCCGCTCCATCCCCAGACACATTAACAGACTTTTCCAGTAGCTGTACTGGCCGCGAATGCATCCCAAGTCCTCAGGGCAAAGTAATCATTAAAAAATGCTTGCTTTTAAAACAAGTTTTATATTTTAAAAGGTAAACTCACCTGAGGTCCCTTCCATGGGGTCATGGTCTTGGATACTGGCTTGGGAGGGTTGGGAGGGTACTTCAGTCAGGCTGAGAAAAAGATCCTGGCTGTTGGGGAGAACGGAGTGCTGGGTGCTCTCTGCAAGCTCGTCCTCCTCCTCCTCCTCCTCTTCCCCATCCGCAGAATCCTCAGGTGTAGCTGATGAGACTACCCCGACCCGGAATCCACAGTCACAGGTGGGGTAGTGGTGGCGGCCCCCCCTAGAATTGCATGCAGCTCGGCGTAGAAGCGGCATGTCTGCGGCTCTGACCCGGAGCGACCGTTTGCCTCCTTTGTTTTTTGATAGGCTTGTCTGAGCTCCTTGACTTTCACGCGGCACTGATCTGAGTCCCTATTGTGGCCTCTCTCCATCATGCCCTTGGAGATTTTTTCAAAAGTTATGGCATTTCGTCTTTTTGAATGAAGTTCTGCTAGCACTGAATCCTCTCCCCATATAGCGATCAGATCCAGTACCTCCCGTACGGTCCATGCTGGTGCTCTTTTTCGATTATCAGCCTGCATGGTTACCTGTGCTGATGAGCTGAGCTATCTGTGGTCACCTGTGCTCTCCACGCTGGGCAAACAGGAAATGAAATTCAAATTTTCCTGGGGCTTTTCCTGTCTACCTGGCCAGTGCATGCGAGTTCAGATTGCTGTCCAGAGCGGTCACAATGGTGCACTCTGGGACAACTCCCGGAGGCCAATACCATCGAATTGCGGCCACACTAACCCTAATTCGAAATGACAAAATCGATTTTGGCGCTACTCCGCTCGTCGGGGTGGAGTACAGAAATCGATTTTAAGAGCCCTTTATTTCGAAATGGCTCCGTTGTGTGGACGGGTGCAGGGTTAATTCGATTTAACGCTGCTAAATCCGAATTAAAGTCATAGTGTAGACCAGGCCTAAAAGTTGACTTCCCCAACCTTGTACCACTCGCCACTTTCCAGAAATAAAGGTTTTTTATTGCTAGAGTGCAGGGGGAAGCACAACAATCCAACTAAACATAATTTATTACAATTTTAACACTTTCAAAATTTTAAACTATTGCCTCCAATAAGGAGAAATCAATCCCCAATTTTAATTATTTTCACATACACACTTGTTTTATAACTAGCTCTCATCAGTAGGCTGAAGTATGCAACTCAAAAGCCTCCCTGGTTTCAGATATTTACCAGCTGCCCTTGCTTTTCATCTGGTTAGATTCCATTTTCTTTCAAAATGAAGGTTGCAGCCCAAACAAGCCTCATGAGGAGGATAGTCCTAACTGACAATCATCTGTGATATAGTTTATCACAGATTTGAAACCTTATTTTTCACTGCATATTCTCTACCAGTTTTCTTTGCCGCTGAGGAAGGAATAAAGCTAAATTCGCTTCCTTTGCTCTGAGATCAATGAGGGGAAAATATAGGTATACCTATTAGTCATTTTGTTAATGCAATAGAAGGAGATTTCTCAGTATAAAATAATTGAGGGGGAGTTGAGGCTTCGGAATCTCAGATCTTCCCCACTTTTGTTATCTGTAAGTCAGTTCCAATGCCCATCCAACTAACAAACCGAACTCCAAATACAAAAGCTAACACAGGTCAAAAGAAATTCTGAAAGAAAATTCACCATGAAATTTTCATATTAACAGATAATGTTGAATTATTACTTCCATCATGAAACTGTATATTAGGGTAATCAATTATTTCTTGTCAAGGTCCAAATTTCTTGGTCAAGGTATAGTCAAGGTCCAGACTCCAGAGAAAATAATACAAAACCAGTAATGAAAATAAGTAGTAAATAAAAAGATTTTGCAATCTGTTCAAAAGCATCTGACAATCCAGTTTTGTCCCCCGGGGCTGCCTTGACTACCCCTGCTGTACATGATGGAAGCATGCATCATCACATCTTCTCCAAATTATTGGTGACTGATAGACAATTCTCGCCTTAGAGCCAGATTCTGTTCACCCTCAGTGAAAAGACTTCCTGTAACAGAAGAGACAAAACTGAGGGCTTGTCTACACTACCGCGGTAGTTCGACGGCTGGCAATCGAACTTCCGGGTTCGATTTATCGCGTCTGGTCTGGACGCGATAATTCGAACCAGGAAGTGCTCGCCGTCGACTGCGGTACTCCACCTCAGCGAGAGGAGTACCGCGGAGTCGACGGGGGAGCCTGCCTGCCGCGTGTGGACCGCGTCTGAACCGCGGTAAATTCGAACTAAGGTATGTCGACTTCAGCTACGTTATTCACGTAGCTGAAGTTGCGTACCTTAGATCGAATTGGGGTGTTAGTGTAGACCAGGCCTAAGAGGTGACACCATTCCTGGCAGTGTTATCAGCAGCCTGCTCCCCATCGTATCTGGTTAGATCAAAGAGGAGCATTATAATTTTTTTCCCCTGTTCCCCAGAGGTATGCAGGAAAGTCAGAATTGTAACAGACGTGGAAGAATATTTTTTGCCTTATTCAGCTGATAAAAATAATTTCCGTTAGTAAACCACAGACCTGATTCTCCACTACCCTGCACCCTGTGCAGTCATTCACATGAAAAGGGGGTGTAAAACAATACCAAAATCAGAATTCTCTCAGACTCATATTGCTATTAGCATTTTACATCTTTGCACAGGTGTAGAAGACTGACAAAGCCAAGGCTGCAGAGAATCAAGCCCTTTAGCTGAAATTGAGGTATACTGATTAACAGGCACTATATAGACATGCACCATAAACATACATCCTGATGCATTATATATGATTCACTTCATATAAATTGACTGATTACTATATGTAGTACAAACATATATGAATACACCACAGATACAGCATATCATATCCACTGATGCCCTTTATATTAAAAAAATGTTTTATATTCGAGTGCCGTACAATATACTAACACTATAAATGTGAAGTATATATTTAGATACATAGAAACATGATGCACTGTATATAAGCTGATGTTTAATCTAGTAGCACTAAACACAGGTGAACGGACGCAGGTATACAACAGATGTGCACACATGGACGTGTATTAAAGACACAAACACAGCATATGCACACCTCTCACATACAGTAGTGCAGACACACAGTCTTACACAGATGTACTTTCTTATACCCCCCAAACACACACAGTAAGGCACGCACAAACAGATGAACCTCCTGAGCGCATCTCTCCAGGCATACACATGCTGGGTATCAGTGTAGAAATGTACTATACAGATACAACACACACTGATGCACCTACATCCTGTTGCCTTACAGAGATGCACAACTCACCCTCTTAGCCCCACTTTACTTACACACAGACACGTAGATGCTGGTAACCTACACAAGTGTCCAGCTCAACCTCTTCGTGTGTGCAAGCACACGCACGCATACATGCCCAACAGACACAAATCACCCCAGCCTACCCGCCTTACACACACCCCTATAAAGACGCCAGCGCAAGTGCCCTGTGGAGCCGTCTCTGCCCCGCTCGCCCTCCCCGCCGCATGAAGACCCCACTCTTCTCCCTCACACACATCCCGCCCCCCGGCGGAGCGGGGCTGCCCGCCTGTCCCTTACCCTCCTGCAGGATGTGGGTGGGCTGCACGGGCTGCACTCGGAACTGCCGGGCGCTCCAGCCGGGGCTAGGCGGCCGCACCACCTCGCTATCTGACAGCCAGGTGACGGTCTCGTAGTTGTCCCCGCGGAGCAGCGCGGCCGCCTCGGCGCTGTGCACCGCCACCTCGTCGAACTGGTGCAGCCCGCCCGCGTGATCGAAGTGTACATGGGTGGCCACGGCCAGCAGCGGCCTCCTGCCCCCGCCCGCCGCCTCCGCCTCCCCGGGCCCGGCGCCCGGCGCCAGCAGCCCGGCCGAGTGGAGGTAGTCGGGCAGGCTGCGCAGCCCCAGGCCGGTGTCTATCACCACGTCGCGCTCCGAGCCCCGCACCAGCCAGATGTTGGCTCGGTTGCCGGACTCGTAGAACCGCTCCTGGATCCAGTAGATGCCGCCGCCCAGGGGCTTGTGCGCGAACCACTCCAGCGCCGACATGCCGGGCCGCACACAGCCCCGCACTGAGAGGCCACCGCCCCCCAGGAGGAGCCTGCGCGGCGCCCCGACCCACTGCGGGCTGCGGCAGCGTAGCCGGGGGCGGGGCTGGCTGACACGTGTTCCCATCTTTTTTAAATTCTCAGTTTTAAAACAGCCTCACAGTTTTGATTAAAAATGAAAAATGGAGTCTTGAGTCCAGTTTGATTTCTAGACAGAAGTATTTTTTTTCCCAAGCTGGAGATCACAATTGGTATGAGTCTTGCAATTTAAAAAATACCTTTTCTTAGTCCTTGACTTTTTTCCATCTTAATTTTGGCTTTATTTTTTGTGATACAACTAGAATCTAACAAAGGGTGTAATATTTTTAGTAACTCCAAATGGCTGGGTCAGGGAAAGGAAGAGGACGTGCTGCATTTACTTTCAACATGGAGGCTATTGGCTTTGCCAAAGGTGAAACATTACCTGAAGTAGCATTCAAGCCCCCTCCACTGTTTCCTGTAAGTACAGAAGCTTAATTTTAAGAGCTTGTTGCATGTCTGTGTAATGTACTTCATTTTCATATTGAGGTAGTGAGGTTAAATGTGTGGAAAAATCCTAAACACTATCAATCAGTTTTGAAAGTAACTAGTCCATGTAACCATGTGCTCCCAGTGATAGAAACCTCAACAGCAGAGACTATGTAGGCAGGATTCAGGTGTTTTACACTGTTGTCTGATGATAGTATAAAGAGTCTGAGTCTTGTCTATACTACAGCCTCACTGTTCCTGACTATAGGACAGCTATCACCAGTGAAGCTGCACTGTGAAAGGATTACAGATCCCATGTTCTCTAATGTAGACAAGGCCACAGTGGAAAGAGACTTTTTTATTCTTGACAACAGATTTGTTAAATTGTATTAGTCTGTCCATGAGGTAACTAACATGATTTTAAAAAAACAAAATAATCTGTCCACATTGTTCAGATTAATCATGTTTAGCACAGATCCAACTGTATTTTGGGAAGAGGTATTGCTGAAGTTGTTCTCTGACTTAAGATAGCAGTACAGGGTTCAGAGTAGGTTAAATCAGCCGGAGGCACTGTATTTGGAAGGATAGTGGGGGGTGGGATGGATGATGATTTGCACCTTGCTTCACTAATCTAAAGTCAGTTGAATTAGATTTTTATGTTTTTTAATAGTTAAGAAAATGTTTTAGATACTTGTTTTCTTCCTTTCCTAATAGAGATTAAGTTCTGAACATATTGTCAGAATGCAATACAACATATTTGCAAACTAGCATAATACATAATTGTAGTCCTCCATAAGTAGCAGCATTTTTTCTGCGACTTTTTGTGTTGTTGTATGTAACGGATATTAGCATAACAATGCACCTTAATAATTTACACAGCCAACAGATTTTAAGCCAGTGCCTCTGAAAATGGGAGAGGAAGAGGATTATATGTTGGCCTTGAAGCAAGAATTTAGAGCAAGTATGAAAAAAATGCCTTATTTTATGCGAAAAGAAGATGAAAATCAAGGTTTGTTCTGCATAAATGTAATTTTTAGAATAGCAAAATGTATTTGTGTATGAAAAATGTAATAATTAGCACTTTATATGTTCAAGCTGTAATACTGACACTGAATAGTGAAAGGGACAATGTCAACTTGAAAATTACATTTTGCGATGAAACTTTTGCACCTAGGAAAGTTACAAGTAATGCCTACATTTGCTGTAACTAAAAAGCAGTGTATGTGTTTGGGAGAAGTCTGTTCTTCTCAATTTGTTTTGTTTGTGTATTTCACAATACTGTTTAGTCAGTCAATTTCTTCCTTGCTGAAAATGCCCTTATAATCATTAACAGTGGAGCACAGAATCCTCTATATAAATATATTTTTTAAAAGCCCAGGTTCTAATAAGGACCCTTTAAACTGTAGCCAGATTATTTAAAAATATTATATACAAATTAAAAATAGTCAGTTAAAGGTTACTCTATCACAGCCCAAATTAGTCAGTGCTCCTTTGTAATCTTCACAAAAGATAGGTAGGTATGATAAGTAGTATTACAGATGGGAAAGCTGAGAAAGAGAGAGGTAAAGAGATTTACCAATGCTTGAATCAGTGGTGGAGGTGGAATTAGAAATCAGGAATTCCTGACTGCCAGCTTTATGCTTGTTTCAGCTAGACCATAGTATCTGTCCCCCTTTTTTTAAACCTTTATAAAACTGCAATTTAATTTTGAAAATATTTGTTGTCTTCCTCAGTGTTGGCTGACATATTGTATTTGACATCCAATACGTATGTTTTATCTTTTCAGTAGTTTGTTGATTAGTGTTGTTTAAATCAAAGCTTCCAAGTCTTTGTTTGAAAATTGCATTGGGGAAAACAAAGGACCCAAGTACCTCCCAGCTTCACTGCAGGAGTATCAAAAATCTAGCAATCACAGAAGGCTCTCATTTTTCACAGTGGATTTTTTCCCTATTCAACCTTTTTTGTCAATTCCACCATCTTCCTGTGAGCCTAGCCTGACTACAAGGTATGGTAAATAGTGTTGGTTGGGGACTTTAAGGAACACAGAAATTACCCACTCAATCAGACTGAAGGTCCATTTAGTTTAGTATCCTGTGTCTGATGGAGGCCAGCACCAGATATTACAGATAAAGCTGTAAGAATCCTGCAGTAGCAGATGATCTAATCTGTTTCTCCTTACAGAAGTTAGACCCATCAGCACACCTGACCCTGATTATCAAATACACAGTCATTAAGTAGTTAACTGGTGAAAGGAGTATTTCGTTCCTTTTTTGTTTTCTTGGATTAAAATGATCAAATGCTCTTATGAAATGCTTTTAAGATGGCAAAAGAAAGATATGGGAGAGGATATTGCATCTTGGCAATATCACTCATGGATAATATTTTTAGTATGATTTTTTTATTTTTTGTAATGTTAATATACATTTGAGCCTGTGGGAGCTTAATTTTAATTCTTGTTTATTTGGGATATGGTGGGAAATGATGTGTGGGAACTGGGGTAACATCCATCACCTGAACTGAGAAGATATCACTTAAACACAAGTGTATTCTCTTGCCTGCAACTTATCATTACTATCAGTCATGCTGAAAAATATTGTCCATCCTGCTTTCTCCTGAATTTAGTACATGCATATTAAAATGAATGATAACTTTTGAAACATTTTAATTAGCCAGAAGATGGGTGCCTTTACAAACTATGAAGGCCTGGTCTACAGCTAAAACTTAGGTTAACTTAACGAGGTCGCTCAGGGGTATGAAAAATGGTAGTTAAGCCAACACAAACCCCATTGACCTACCTACCACCTCTTGTGGAGATGGATTTACTACAATAATGGAAAAAACCCTTCCATCACTGCAGTAAGTGTCTACGCTACAGTGGCATAAGAGCAGCTGTGCTGCTGGGTTTGGATTTGCCCAGTAGCTTTGGTTGGTTAAGATCAGTCATCGGTGCACACAGATTTATGTTAGCCAGGGTGGATAAAAATCAATGGTTTTTTGTTTTTTTTTAAATCAAAAAAATCAGATTATTTAAATTTAAATCTGATTTTTTTGACAAAGTGCTTTTTGAGGAAAAAACCTATCTAAAAAATAGTTTTAATTAAGATACATTATAGCTCAAAGATATCTCATCGTGGAATAGGGATTGTTGCCTGCCTAAAAAGGCCTCGAGATGGCAAACAGGGGTCCGTCGCCCGGTGTGCTTAGCACCAATGAAGACACCGAGGGGAGAAAGCAAGCCAAGTTTATTTCAGAGCTCTGAAATGGCACTAGGAGACCAGCATGTCTCAAATCCAGTGCAACAAATACAAACAACTTTTACCTTTTATACTTCAAGCAGTTTCTGTGTAAGCCTTTGTCTGTTAACCCCCTCTTACTACTCCCACCCCTCCCTTCTCTAGCCGTTACAATTAGAAAAGTTCTCATTCGTCTGCTTATCTTTTGGCCTTGCAAGGCCTGTTTACAGCAGTCTGAGGCTACGTCTTCACTACCCGCCGATCCGGCGGGTAGCAATCGGTTTATCGGGGATCGACTTACCGCGTCTCGTGAGGACGCGGTAAAATCGATCCCTGATCGCTCTGCCGTCGACTCCGGAAATCCACCTCGACAAGAGGCGGCAGCGGAGTCGGCGGCAGCGCGGCAGCGGTCGGCTTTCCCCCGTCCTCACCACCAGGTAAGCCGACCTAAAATACGCAACTTCAGCCACGGTATTCACGTAGCTGAAGTTGCGTATCTTAGGTCGGAACCCCGCTGTAGTGTAGACCTAGCCTGAGCAAAACAGCAGCTGTATGCTAGAGAAACGCTGACCCTTACATTTCTACTTCAGCCTGTAAGCAGTGAGCACAGGAGTAGGTGAGAGTTCACAAGATGGAGTTTGGGGGTTCCAGATAGGCCCAGAGCAAAAGAGCTTCATCGACACTTTGGCCTTCCACTCTCCCGAGTTACCTGGTAGCTATGCCTAGGGGTCCCCAACAGGATTATACATTCTAATTCTGTAGTATGAGACAATATAGTCACGTAATGTTTAAGAAAAGTTTTGTAAATGAGTTCCAATAGTTCATGAATTAGGGACCCAATCTTATGGGGTTCCACAGGCTTCTACGTAGATTTAGGTTAATCTTTCTATCTACCCAATGGGACTCAGTGCTCAGTCTAGAACAGGGGTCGGCAACGTTCGGCACGCGGCTCGCCAGGGTAAGCACCCTGGCGGGCCGGGCCAGTTTTATTTACCTGCTGACGCAGCAGATTCGGCCGATCGCGGCCCCCGCTGGCCGCGGTTCGCCGTCCCGGGCCAATGGGGGTGGTGAGAAGCGGCGCGGGCGAGCGCTGTGCTGGCCTGGGACGGCGAACTGCAGCCAGTGGGGGCTGTGATCGGCCGAACCTGCCGCGTCAGCAGGTAAATAAAACTGGTCCAGCCTGCCAGGGTGCTTACCCTGGCGATCCGCGTGCCGAACGTTGCCGACCCCTGGTCTAGAAGATACCATCACAGCTGCTTAGTTTTGCAGTTCTCAAACTGTGGATTTGTGTCTCCAGAGGAAACATGCTTGTTAACAGCAAAAATGTTTTAAAATAAATAAATAATATATAGAGGTGAGAAATAACAGATCTCAACTCTGTTGTCCCTCTGCAAAAGTGTGTACACAGAGTCAATCCTTTACCTCTCTCTGAAAGTGAAAAGTTTCAAAAAGTTCAATGAATATAAGATTGTTGGGGGCGGAATAGATCTGGACATGGAGAAGAAGTCTGGAGATAAATGTGAGAAGCGAGGGACATATGCTTGTGTTGTTCAAATATTATATGTTTGCTGTTGAAGAAAAAAATCCAGAATACTTAATGTTGTTTTAGTTAAATAAAACAATTTAAATGTCTGCCTGGTGATGTTCTCCTCCTAATACAGCATGGCAAGAAAATCCTCCAAATATTAACGATTAACTTGTTGAATTGGAGATAGTTCACCTCCCAATGACTTCATAAATATCTGCTTTAATTACCTTTGATAAATGAAATAACCAAACAATCATTCATTTTCTGATATAGCTGTAAAACTAATCTGAAAAGTTTTCAAAATAAATCACTGTTTAAAAATGTAGAATGTGTACCTTCTAAAAATTAAACCTACATCTATCTCTGAGTTGTGAAAAATATGTATTTAGGTTATAACAACCAACAAGAATGCACTTTTATGTAGAAAACCATGATTAAATCGAGTCTTTGTGACTAGTGATTTAAATCAAATCCACCGTGATGTTAGCAGTTGCAATAATGTTCTTCCATAATGAACTTCATCTTGAAATCAAAGCCACTGGTTTTTCCTCTCCTGACATTGACAGTTCACACAAAAAACACCCAACATCAATTACTTTAAGTACCCCTTGAGCCCCATCATTTTAAACATGAGCTTTTGTTCCACTATATTTCTTGGCTCTTGTGCTTGCATTTGCCCTGGTAACAGACTGGAAGCCCAAATGATGGGGAGTCATATATGTACAGACACTCCCCGGGTTATGCAAGACCCTATTTATGCAAATTCGCACTTACGGAAAAAGTTATAAGCCAGAAATAGGATTTTCGAGTTGTGGAAATTTTTGCGTAACGTACGGGTATACATTTCCGACTTACGCAAAATTCTAGTTACGCAAGGCTTTCTGGAACGGAATGATTGCATAAGTCGGGGAGCGTCTGTAATTGATTTAGAGTTGCATGTACTGTTACCTTTCCACTTCCCACATCCTAATTTGTCTCATTATTTACTCTGTGTCTTGTGTAAATCTTAGACTCTGAGCTCTCTGAGGTGGTTTGTTAGTACAGTGCCTAGGATACAGGGGGCCTCATCCCTTTTGGGGATCATTAGGCATTACTGCAGTAGAAATTAATAATTTTGTATTGAATGGGTATTTATTTTTTGTTTGGAGGCAGTATGGTTTATAGTACTAAAGAAGGACCAACAGTCAAGAATGCCAAAGTTCCAGTCCCAGGTTGTTGTTTTTTACTGAGGGATGGCTTGTCTATCTGGGAAGGTTTTTTATTATAATCTAAGGTGTGGATTTAAAATGATATAACTCTTCGTGTAGACACTCTTATTTCAATATGAGTGCATTTTTTCAGTTAAGTTTATGTTGCTTGGGAAAGGGATTAAGCCATCCTGGAAAAAAGCCACATACCAGAATAAGACTTTGTCTGCACTAGACAGGGTTCATAGTATAAATATACCAGCAAACCTTCTTAATGGAAGCATAATTTAGATATAGCTTATACCAATTCCCTGAATAAAATAAGCTATACTGGCAAAAGGATTTTTTTTTGCTAGTATAACTGTCAACAGTAGAACTTTTGCCAACATAGCATACCTGTATACTAGATCAGTATAAATGGTAAAACTTTTCCATGCAGGCGAGGTCTAACTGACTAAATCCTCATCTATGCTGAGGCCTGGTCTATACAAGGAAATTAGGTAAGTATTCAGGGGTGTGAAAAATCCACACCCTTGAGTGATCCTGTTAAACTGACCTAACCCCCAGTGTAGATAGTGCTAAGCTGATGGGAGAATTCTCCCGCTGACTTAGCTACTGTCTCTCGGGAAGGTGGATTACGTACGCCGATGGGAGAACCCTCCCATCGGTGTAGGTAGCATCTTCACTGATGCACTACCATGGCGCAGTTGTGCTGCTGAAAAGTGTAGACAAGTCTTTATGCATGTTAGTAGTCCCATTGATTTCAAGGGAACTGCTCATAGTAGTACAGTTAAACATGTTCATCATCAGCACAATGGAAAGTGCATCTGCATAAAAAGAAGGGGTGTGTGTGTGTATATTTGGGTCAAGAGAAGCATATAATACAGTGTTTGGATTGCGTTGGTTAATAGCATGTAAATGAAATAGAATTCAATAACTGCACGTTTTTCTTGTTCTCTAGGAATTGAAAAATATAGTAAAAAGTACCTGCAGATGAGAAAAGAATCCATGGAATGGACCCCAGGTAATAATGTAAATTACAACAGTGAAATTCTGCGTGGATCTTGAATAATCTGCCAGTTTTCTTAAATGCCCAGTGTGACCAGAGTCCCAGGGGAGCCAACTGAGGTCACTCAATTAAGGTGAACTGAAAAGAATGGGGCAGGCAATCTCCAAAGCTGATGGATATTCCAATACTTGGATTTATCAAGCCAGCACAAAACAGCTTCTATAATACCTCACTGGTTACCCAGAAGCCCCAACAACACAGTTCCCTTGAAGTAATCCAGCCTTAGGCCTCCACCCAGACACGCAAGTCAAATATGATGAGGATTACTGAAATCTTATTCATCATAAAAAAGTTCTACCAATCCCAAAGGATCTGACACATTACCTCCCAAGTTAATGGGAGATAACCCAAATACACGCTTACAGACAATTCTTATTAACTAAACTACAATTTATTTTAAAAGAAAAGAGAGAGAGCATTGGTTAAGAGATCAGTATACATACAGACCATGAGTCAATCTTGAGATTCAGATTCATAGCAGAGATGGTGAGCTTTGTAGATTCAAAGAGTTCTTTCAGAAATAGTTCATAGTCCAATGTTTATATTCAGGGTGGTCCAGTTAGGACTGGGATCTCAATTCTTATGGCTCAGGCTTCCCCTGCATGGAGCCTCAAGCAGATCTGAGATAAAAAGGATTGGGACCCAAACATCTTTATACAATTTCAGGCTTTCTTGTGACAGCTTGTAGTCCTTTGGTGAACAATAGGCACTCATGTGGACTATGAAGTGGACCCAGTTCCTAAGCATCACTGGTAATTATTACAGATTAACATAAGGCAATTGCCTGTTTTTTCCACCATTCGCAGATGATTTGCTATATGTTTCAAAGAGAAATGAATACAGTGATATCCTATGTTTACAGTTCATTTAAATGTTAAGATGTTCTTTTGATCTCTGAATTAACAGATTACAGCATAGACAGGGACTGTTTGATTACATTGTTGATCTCTCTACCAATATATATGTAAAACCACAAACATTATCTACCTATATGTTTTTACGGGTTGAATTTGAGTCATTTATCCTGCAGGACGCTTAACGCTTTCTGGTCATGCATCACACCCCCGACGCAAGATTGATGTGGAAGGGAGCTAATTAGAACTCCTGGATACACCTCAAGGATCTCCCAACCTTGACAAGGCATCAGCCACAAGATTCTCTTTCCTTTTATATGAATTATGTCCATATCAAACTCTTGCAAGGCCAAACTCCAATGGAGTAACCTAGAATTGGTTCCTGTTGCTTTGTGTAACCACACCAAGGGAAAATGATCACTGAACATGGTAAACTTCTTGTTATACAAAGAGGGTTTGAGTTGCCTTACTGCCCACACAGTTGCATAGCATAGCATAGCATAGTGTTGTTCAGTGGGTGTCAGTTTTTTGTAACTGATTTTTAACACTTACACTCTCCAATATCAAAATTAATTTTTGATCCAAAAACCCAATTAACGTGTGGCAATGTGTATCCAAGCCAGACTAGGCTCCCCTGGGACTCCAGTCACAGTGGCAAACTGAGGTCACTCAATTAGAGTGAACTGCAAAGAATGGTCATGTGTCACACCCAGTTTCTCCATTTTAAAACAATGCCAGTCAAATGACATTTGCAACCTTTCTAAATTGTGTATTCCTTATGGAGGCGTAGACATATGTTTTACCACTGCAAACTTGACAAACCTGTGTTTGAGCTGCCTGAAAAAATAAATCTGATTTTTTCCCCCTTTATTTGCAACTCAGTGTCTCAGACTTGCATCACATTTTCCTCAAAATATTCAAGCTTGAGTTGAGGATTAACATGAGAAATTTAATCAATGAAAATTTGTGGTATCAGTGACCTGAAGAATTAGGGTTTGGAATGGAAAGGTCAGCTCAGCTTTATCTATATAGCTTCACTACTGCTAATTATTACATGTAAATTAAAGGTTATTAGATTCACTTATGTCTGAACTTCAGTTGCTTCTTCGGGGAAGAAACTCTTTTTTGTTATATGGGTCTGATTCTGTAAATCTTTACAATACAAAACTTCAAGTACACAGGTAGTGTGTTGACTTCAGTGGGACTAGTTGCATACCAAAAATTTGAGCCTGTTTGCAGTATCAGAGTCTATATTTATACTGCACCAAGCACAATAGCACCCCACCCCTCCTTGGGTCCTTTGGGCACTAATGTAATACAAATAAATAATAGTTCCTATATATTAAAATTATTTCTTATGCAGATTGGAGAAGACTCCCGAGAGAGATGAAGCCAAGGAAAAAGACCAAAAAAGGTAGCTGATGTAGTTTTAAGGAGCATTCACAGTACCTAGCAATTAGGTGTGAGAGAGACTATTGTTAGAGCTGGTTGAAAATATATCAGTGGTAATAATTTCTGAAACAATTTGACTAGGTTGGGTTTTTTTTGGTAATCTTTTTTTAAACATTATTTGACTGGTCTATTTATTGTTTTATAGGATGCTTTCAGAACTACCAAAAATTAAATTTTGATATTTTAAGAAAATAATAGTGAACTTATTGGAGCTGGCGTATCTGCATTTCCTGCTTTTCATACCAATATGTCTTTGAATGCTGATGGGGTAGCACTGAGTGATTTTAAAAAATACTTGTATTCTTTTGCTGTTGCTTTCAGAAGTTTGCAAACATCTTTAACCACTGTTTTCCATACTCCATGATTTGTTTTCCTGGTTGTGATTTGGTTGGCTCTTCTGTTTATTTTAGTTTTTGTATGTGATTTAATGTAACTTCTGGTTTTCCCCATTTTTCCTTTTTTGTTTATTTTCAGCTCTCTTTGACAGAATTGTGAATCAGATTCTTCAACAGCAGTTAGAGCTGGTATCGGTTGCTCTTAAAGAGAAAGGAGTTTAATTTTCACTATAAAATGTATTTATTTTTCAGTGTTCCCCAGTATGCATGACCATTATTCTGTTTTTCTCTAGAGAACTATTGTTTTGTTGACATAAAGCAACCCTTTGACTGGTACCTAGATGTCTGTTATGTATAATTATTTACTTTCATTACCTCTTGTCCAAGTCTTTAGTGTGTCATCTTTCAGTTCAAGGATAAAATAGAACACAGAAGCATGAATGTGCAGTAGTCATGGAGACTGGCTCATCTGGAAGCTTTGTTCCTTTTTAAGAGCCTCATTGAGAAGCATGGTACTAAAAGTAGAGTGCAAGCATTCTACTGGAAATTAAATTCTTATTGTCAAGATTGTCAAAGAAGAATAACCAGTATATAGCTGTTGTTCAACTTTGAGCCAGTAATTAGCTCTCCCATATCCTAAGAAAATCAGCTGCCGATTTGTTCCTTTGCTAGAGTGACATTAAATGATGACCATAAACATAGGCTCAAAGTCACTGCCTATTAAGACATATTTTTATTCATTTGATCTCACACCAAAAGTGACCATTTTTCTCTTTAATAGCAACAACAAAAATCAGTTGAACAGTTTAACTTCTGTGAGCATAAGAAAGATACAGATTCCTTTAAAAAAAAAAAAAAAAAAAAAAAGTTTAAACAGCACCCAAGTTAATATAGAATCCTTTCAGAAAACATACACTGCGGAGGTTTGTAGAAAGGTGGCCACTATCGCATTAGTACATTACATCATCTTGGCATATTCGAGAACAATATAATCTAGATCAGTGGTTTTCAAACTTTAGCAGGACCCCCATTTTGATTTAAAATTTTCGCATACCGACAAGCTGGCTTCTAATTTTCCCTGGGGATGCTCAGCCCCTGCTCTGCACCAGGCCCCGCCCCCACTCCACCGCTTTCCCAAGGCCCCACACCTACCCCTCCTCTTCCCCGCCTCTTTTCGCCCCTCCCCCGAGCGCGCCCTGTCCCCGCTCCCCCTCCCAGCTCCTTCTGCACGCCGCTGAACAGCTGTTCCGTGGTGTGCAAGAGGCACTAGGAGGGAGAGGAAGGAGTTGATCAGCGAGGGTGAAGGCCCCAGACGTGACTCACGGATCCCTGGAGTAAGGACCCCAGTTTGAGAACCACTGACTAGATAACACATTATAATGAAGTCAAATGTGTGTGTTTTTAGAGGAGGGTGGTAGTTTGGGTTGTTTGTTTTTCCCCTCTTAGTGCAAGTCAGTTTTTCTATCTTGGAATCCAACCCAACTTGCTTCGCCCATTCTAACTATATATGTTGCTGGGAGTGATTTTACTTCTGGATAATGACATTGCCATGATTAAAGGGCTAGTTGCACCTCTATTCCTTTTCTGGTCTCTGAGAGCACCCTGTCATGTTTTAGGCTTCAGGCCTTTATCTCCCAGGGGTGGAATTCTACAGTTCTGCCCCTCTGAGACCCTGCCTTTTGCTACATCATGATGTGTTTCAACCATGCGTACCCAGCAGGTGCAACTGTGTTTGGCATCTTTGGTTCTGCCCTTCGAGAAACTGTGACCAGGTGTATGTAGTGACCAGTCACCTTAGAACCAACGTATTATTTATTTTAACAGAAAGAACAAAGCATTTAGAGAAAAAGGATTGTAAGATAATAGTTTTACATGCCTAAAACCCTGCCATCCTGTGATGGTGACCTAGGCAGGCCTAACTGCTTCAGACCCCCCAACGAGTGTCTATGTGTCCACCAGGTTATCCTGAACAAATCTTCAGGATAACCTGGATTTGCAACTGTAAAGGATTTGCAACTGTAAAGCAAGGATATAGCACAGACATTACATTAATTTGCCATGAGAGATGTTAACAGTGCTGTAATCTCTAACAGTCAGTAATCTATGTAGGAATTAAGAAGGTACATTAGGTAACTTATTATTTTACTTCAGCAGGTGGAAAAACGAAAAAGGCAAAAGTTGCCACACCCAAAAGTAATGTGGATGTGTTGAAAAAAATTGAGGTAAGACCTACTTGATGCAAAAGATGCAGTTTCTCTGTATAGCCTCTGTTGTTCAATACAGGCTTACTCTCGAGGGAACTCTGCACCAAAAAATTAAAAATGCTGTGCACAATATTTTAAAATTCTGCATGTTTTATTTGTCAAAACACTCTGGTTTCAATTATTTAGGTAATTTATTTAAACTACACTACAGTGGATGGAGACTGGGAGTGGGGAGCATTGGAGGAAATCCCCAAGCCCCTTGCCTAATAGTAATGTAGTTAGGTTTGATCCTTTATTTCTAGTTATTAGTCAACAAATATATGCAGCCATATGCTCAGTGTTACATCATAGGCAAGTGAGGCTGGGGAATCAAACTCACAATTTATATTGACTTCTGATTATCTCCAGAAAGGTCAGTAGTAAACAGTTCATGGAGCAAATTTTGATAGGAAATTTTTTCAGTTCAAAATTTAGACCAGTTCTAATCAGTAAAGCACCATAAGCATTTATAAGCCATATTGTCCTTTACACCACTCTGGCAATGTAAAGGAGCCTTAAAACTTTTACACCGCTTTTATACTCCTGGGGGAATTCACAGGACAATGGCAACAATTCACTAAGCAGGCAGGCTGCTACATTCCACTCTGCCTGAGTGGAGAGAGCCTGCCCCATGCCTACCTCCTCAGAAACACCCCGAAGCCCTGCCCCTCCACGCCGAGCATGCCGCAATAGCGAGCAAGAGGGACAGTGTGCCACTCTCTCACACGCATTACTGGCCAGACCCTGCCCCCCTCACAGCGGTGATTTATGTCTCTACGGGCTGCTCCAGGTGCCTGAACTGACCTGCCCGCACTGCTGGGGAGAGATGTGTGACTGCTCTTTTGGCTTCCCTTTGCTTCCTCATCAGAAGTCACTTTTCTGCAGGGAAGCAAAGAAATCTGCGGGGGACATAAATTCTGTGCATGTGCAGTGACACAGAATTCCCCCCAGGAGTAAAGCTGCAGGAAGAGAATTCAATAGCTGTTACATCTCAATCATCCTACATTGGGTGGGACATCTCACACTTTAGCCATTTCTCTGGCCTTGCCTTGCTGACACATGACTGTATGGTGTCTGAAGAGATGGGATGAGGACTGTCTTTGTCACCAAACTCTGTGGTGATTCCCTTCTATACACAGCTGCTTTTTTGCCCTTTGAACAAGATGTCTGGCTGTTCATTCTCACTGGGAGGGGATGTGGCTTAATTGAACAAAAGGGTTCTCTGAAGAGACAACAAGAGAACTTGGTTGAAGTGCTTCCCCCAAAGGGAAGGAGAGGTCTATCAGTGCCCTCTCATCCTACCAATGTTGCAAACAAACCAATATGGTGAGTTTAGAAGAGGAGGAGTGTGGAGGGGACACAATGGCTGGGCAAATTGGGAGGAAATTTTGACCATAATTTTGGAAGTATGTGTTGCACACAATGGTATTAAGAGGTTGAGAGGCAGAGTTGCCATGTGTGTCTTTGTCTGATTTAGTACATAAGCACATTGGAGCAGATGTTATGTGGTGTTTTGTCTTATAAAGCACCATGTGTGCTTGCACAAATAATTACCACTTTACCCTATGATAACGCGGAAGGGAACTCAGCACTGTAGTACTGCACCATATGTGCTAAAAACATAATGGCTAGTATTTGGTCTAATAAGCCCTAGGAAAATCCTGGCACTTAGTTAAGCAACACGATTGCCTGTTATTTCTACACCATTGTTTGGTTAGTTGCCTTATTACTAGTTACAACAAAACTAAACTCTGCATTTTGATAGCATGGAGGATATGTTGTTGCTAGATTCCTTAACATGTTCTAACTTGTGACAGGAGTTGGAAAAGAAAGGTGATGAAGAAAAATCTGATGAGGAAAAGGAGAAAGAAAAAGACAAAGAGGGTGGTGAAGAAGAAGAAGAAGAAGAAGCAGCAGCAAATGAACAAGAAGAATATGATGAAGAGGAACATGAAGAGGTACAGGTTCCTTTTCCAGCTCTAACAAAACAAACCCTATTTGTTAGAGGTAAATATGATGATAGGAATGATGACTGAAACCAAGTGTACCAACAAAGTTGTTAGCTGTTCTGCATTAGAGGAAAAGTTGGTATGAGAGAGACACTATTATGTGGACAAGCTGCACATTATGCTGCTTAGTGCTGTAATTGATTTTAATAGGTTCTGTTAAATATGTTAGTATTACCAAAATATTGCAAAATCTTGTTTCAGCAGTTAGGAGTGAGTCCTGTGACTAACAGTGGATGTCATTATTTATCTGTATCACTGATAAAGTGCCGCAAGTTTATAGTGATACTTTTACAAAGACTTAAGACAGTTTTTCGTAACATGCTTTCAAACTATATGTCTTAGTTCCCCAATGTTATGGTGGCTGTTGGCATCTGAAAACAACAGAAGATTTTTTTTTTTTTAAATAATAAAACAACCTCCAGATTGTATCTCAGGCTGCATTGGAGTGTGACCCAAATGGCTCATTGCCTTAGATAACTGTAGCTCCTCCAGGAAAGAAAGTGTTAGAGGCACCATGGGTGTGTCCATGTATAGACAAACTTTAAACATCCCAAAATGTAGGTCTTTTCCTCTCTCATCAAACTAGGAAAGGAGGATGTAGCCCTGCATATTCTTCTTTCAAAATCATACTGTATTCTCCTGATTAGCATTATGAGGCAATGTGCCTCGTTTAATAATGGTGCATTTAATTGTCTCATCTACATCAGTAGTAACTTGAAGTATTTTGATCTATAATGTATTTTCATTTAGGAAAACGACTACATTGCTTCATATTTTGAAGATGGCGATGACTTTGGTGCTGGCAGTGACGACAATATGGATGAAGCAACCTATTAGTTATTTGTATTAGATTGTGTCCTTCCCTGGCCTTCTAATACATCCACTAAACCATTTGGACCTAGTTGTAGGTGGGCTGAGCACCTGCAACTCTTGATGCAGCTACTTGGAGTTGGAGCGCTGAGTTCACCCTCAGATGAAAGGGCATTTTTTTTCTGATTTATTTAACGGGGTTGAAAAATGGGAGACCTCGCTGCCATATTCTGTTCTTCCCAAATGCTTTGGAGACAGATATTTATCACTGCAAGGTTCTCTAGAACTCCCCGATACAGAGTACTATATATGCCTTTGTATTGCCTCTGCTGCACTGGAAAAAATATGCATTTTGACTGAATTGTGCCTAAGCATTTGCACTTCTCCATTCTATGCATGAGTGGAATCAAATCCTGTTCCAGATTTGAAGTCATACTTCAGAGGATACTGAAGTCAGTAGCAAAACTTGTATTGACTTAAGTGAACCAGGATTTGGTCCTTTCTGAACACAAGCTGTTCCTACTTAGCTGCTGACTTTCTAAAGGAATTTATTATAATTTCTGTAATCAGGGGATTGAAATATAACTGAACACTGAGCACTTTCATGAACAAAGTAGCCTCAAAGTACTTTGTTACTGTGGACTAACAAGGTAAGGAGATAATTTTGAAAGGCTCTTGCATTCTAATCAACAGACTTTCATAATTCAGCACTTTGACCAATAGGGAGCATCTTTCAAATCAGGGCTTGCTGGGTGTAAGGAGACTTAATAAATGAGATTAGATTATGTTTTATTAATTACTTTTTGCTGGAAGTGAGGTCTAGGGCTAATTAGTAGTTTCATTTAGAGAGGGTTTGTGGCTGAGGTTTGAGCAAGGGTGTGGGAAATCAGGAAATCCCGATTTCTAGGTTTGGCTCATCTCTGTGGCCTTGGACAAGTCCCTTAACATCTCTGCATCAGTTTCCCCAGCTGTTAAATGGGGGGAAAATACTACTTCCTACCTCATAGTACTGTTGAGAGTCTATGTTTGTTAAAATACTAGCTATGTAAATGTGAAATATTGTTTTTATTTAATTTACTTCCCTGCACAGCCAAAAAATCAGACAGTAAAAGAAAGGTACATATAATAGAAGAGTAATATGCTACGGTAAACTGTAAAGGTGGTGAAAACAATGAATTTTATAAATATTCTATATTTGAGGATGAATATGTTGCGACTCTAATCTTTCCATTACAGTAATCCTAGGAGTTATTTGTAACAATAGTTGGTAGGTACAACATTTTCAAATGTATCACTAATATTTTTGTGTTCCTAAGCAACTTAAAATAGGTCTCATTTTTTAAAAACTGTTTTGTTTTGCTTAAATTCACTCAAAATGAATAGAAAGCACTGGATTCTAAAATCTCAGCATCAGCTGAAACTGTCACTGTTTCACTTATGGCCTTTGATGCCTTTTTGAAGTAGCCACAGGAGCTGTCTTCATAAAAGGAGAAGCATGTGGTTTTATAGAATAGGCTTTAAATTTCCTTTCTGCCAATCTTCAAGGAAACGTAAATCTTATTCTTATTGTTTTTTGTTTCCTTCATGCTGCAGTTTTTCTCTGAAGTACTCCCAGCTGGACTCACAACTACTCTCAAAGATGGAGATGCTGAGGATAAATCTAAAGCAAAATCAACAGAAACCATTTTAGCTGACTTGAGGATTGGGGGGGCTTCAGATTTTTTAATTTAATTTAAAATTTAATAAAAATGAATGAAAAGTTGAAAATAAACTTTTTCCTCTAGAATTATTAATCTGGGAAATGTCACTAAAAGGCTCTACCCTATATTTTTGTTGTCCCTCTGCACAAATTGGAACCTGTGTTAGTTGATCATATTGGTCCTCTTTCTTTTCGCTCTTTAGCTGTTGAGAACTAAAATGTGTTCTCATCGAGTGAGAAACTGGTTATTAGTTTAAAAAAAAAAAAAATCTTGTAAAAAGTTTGTTTCTTGATGATTGAGGCACACATTTGCCAAACAATACTTTACCTCAGTGCTAACTCTGAAACAATAGAGAGAGAAAATCCAGAAAAAACTATTTACCTATACTAATGGTTGTGTAATTTAGGGCATGGCTGTATTTTTTCCCTGTGTTTAATTAAAATGCTCTGATTAACAAAATGTGAAGCAATTCCAAAGGATGAGGCAACTAAATCCAATGCAGAGCACACCTCAAATGTATATTTTAACTTGATTATTTTTAAATGTTAAATTGCTATGTAGGAAGATATAGCAAAACAATGTATAACAACTTATTTCTGTATTATTAAATACTGTGCTGTATTGCAACAGAAATTTACTCTGGTCATTAATTAGGACTTTATGTTGAAGTTAATTTTCTTATAACTAATAATGAAGAGTTGAGGACTAAAGTTGTGGGTTTTAAAAAATGTTATAATATGGTCTGCACACAAACTGCATTTATGCAGATAGGCTGCCTCTATATGGCCATGATCTGTCCAGTTATTTCTCTACCCATCCTTGCATGTGGGCTCCTGCACCAACTCAGGAAGAGAGAAGCTGAGCAGATGCCATAATAAAGTCACCATCTTTGGAACACTCCAGAGGTTCTGCAGCTGATCCTAATAAACTAGAGAAATACAACTTAGATGGAGCTACTATAATGTGGGTGCATATCTAGGTGAAAAACTGTTCCCAGAGAATAATTATCAGTGGTTCACAATCAAGCTGGAAGGGCATATTGAGTAGGGTCCCACAGGGATCACTTCTGGGTTTGGTTCTGTTCAATATCTTCATCTGTGATTTAGATAATGGCATAGAGAGTACACTTAAAGTTTGCGGATGATACCAAGCTGGGAGGGGTTGCAAGTGCTTTGGAGGATAGGATTAAAATTCAAAATGATCTTGAGAAATGGTCTGAAGTAGAGAGGATGAAATTCAATAAAGACAAATGCAAAATACTCTTCTTACAAAGGAACAATCAGTTATACATATACAAAATGGGAAATGACTGCCTGGGAAGAAGTACTGCACAAAAGGATCTCGCGGTCAGAGTGGATCACAACCTGAATATGAGTGAACAGTGTAACACAGTTAGTGTGACCAGAGAGCAAGTCTGAAAAATCGGGACAGGGTGGGGGGTAATAGGAGCCCATATTAAAAAAAGCCCCAAATATCAACACTGTCCCTATAAAATTGGGACATCTAGTCACCCTAAACCCAGTTGTAAAAAAAGCAAACATCATTCTGGAATGTATTAGCAGGAATGTTGTAAGCAAGACACAAGAAGTAATTCTTCCGCTGATTAGGCCTCAACTGGAGTAGTGTGTCCAGTTCTAGGTGCCACATTTCAGGAAAGATGTGAACAAACTGGAGAAAGTCCAGAGAAGAGAAACAAAAATGACCTATGAGGGAAGACTGAAAAAAATTGGGTTTAGTCTAGAGAAGACTGAGAGGAGACATAAGTTTTCAAATACATAAAAGGTTGTTACAAAGAGAAAGGAGAAAAATTGTTCCCGTTAACCTCTGAGGATAGGACAAGAAGCAATGGGCTTAAATTGCAGCAAAGGTGGTTTAGGTTGGACCTTAGGAAAAACTTCCTGTCAGGGTGGGTAAGCACTGGAATAAATTGCCAAGGGAGGTTGTGGAATCTCTATCATTGGAGTTTTTTTTAAGAGCAGGTTAGACAAACACCTGTCAGGGATGGTCTAGAGCAGTGGTTCTTAACCTTTACTGCAGCCTGCACCCCTTTTGGTTCTCAAAATATGTTCTCGCACCCCTTATCAAAAATCGTTGAAGTAGGTCAGTTCTTTAAACCTAGATGTATCATAACTATATATAAATATATATGCCACATCATCATCGGCGCATGTGTCAAGAAATACCCCGCAACATGGCGGTACACTGTATTTTGTAGCAAGATAATTTCACTACAATTTGCTTAAAAACTTGAAAATAATTTTTTTGTTTGTATATTACAGTAATTGTTAATGTTAATACATAGGTTTGATTAAACAAAGTAGTTGTACTTGCATGCCTGTGCTTAATTTGTGTTTTCTAAAAAAATCTGGCATGTCTCACACCCCCAGAAAGGGCATCTCACACCCCCGGGGGTGCGTGCACCCCAGGTTAAGAACCACTGGTCTAGATAATACTTAGTCCTGCCATGAGTGCAGGGGACTGGACTAGATGACCTCTCAAGATCCCTTCCAGTCCTATGATTCTATTAAGGTAGATTTATGGAACCATTATGCCAGCAACTACTTCCTTAGGTGAAATGTGGAAAAAGGTAGGATTTTATCAAATGCAGTCAAAGATCACAGAATAAGGAAATAGTGAGATACAATGCAATCAGAAGAAAGAGTATACAAATATAATGGGAGAGACAAACCCCAAGAAGCCACCTTATTTCATTGTCCAACACAAGGCAGTAAGATTTAACATGTTCAGAAATGACTTTCCACCAAAAAAATTATAGTCAAGAGGAAGAGCAGGGAATGGCTTCAAGATGCAGCAGCTGAGCTTCTTCAACTCTCTTCTGATGTTTGGGACATCAATTCATACTTGTCCAGATAATCCTTTCTGCAGGTAGGTTCCCCCATCTCCATGAACAGTTAAGACCAGAAGGGACAGTTATGATTTAGTCTGAGCTCCTCCATAGGCCATGGAATCTAATCCACTAATTACCAGATCAAGCTCATAAGTTTTGTTTGAGCTGTCACATATCTTCTAAAAAGACATTGTCTTGGTTTATAGACTTTAGCTGAACCCAGCTCAGGGTAAGTTGTCTTGTTCTTGGAGTTTTCGGTACCAGCAGCAGAATAGGAGGGTATTTGAGGGCTTGAGTGTACAGGAATGGGGTCATCAGTAGAGGTCACTGATGTAACTCTACAACACCATTGTCTCCTGCACAGCACCATGAAGACTGAAGTTATTTCCTAACAATTCCAGACTCTGCCAGCAACCAGGAATCACACCAGTGTCAACCAACATGAAGACACATAGGAAATAGTACTTTAAACTTCATTTATAAAAGTGTGTTTTCAGAATGTGGAGAAAGATGCAGTGTAATGTTACAGGCAAATATCTCCCATACACACACACTGCTCAGGTCCCAGTGACTTGGAGAATGTGCTTGTGTAGTTTACTGAAAACAATATGGTTGTGCTGATCAAGGATATTTTGTTAGCCAATTTAAGTATGAGGATACCCTTCCTGCCATTTTTTGTCTGTAGTCAAGCCTTGAACCCAAAGCTGCCTTTCAGTGATCAGTCTCAAGGCACCAATAACTTACTGGTAGCTTTTTGCCATCTGTGCATTGTACCGCATGTACTCAGATGGTCCTGGAGCCATTTATGGCTTTCCGCTTGGACAGGCCTCCTTCCATTCCATCCCTGCACAACTGGTGGGGGGCGGGGGAAAGATGTTGCATTCCCCTCCCCACTCTCCATGTGGAGAAATGTGGCTATTATGGCTATAGCAGCTACCATGGCTGGTGGTGAATACAGATAACCATGCAGCAAACCACTTCAAGCATGACCATACCTTAGCACAGCCCTTTAAGAATAAAACTTGGTAAAATTATATTGATTGTTCACTCTGTTGAACAGGGTCCGATACAAGAACTGAACTTAGCAGCATGCCTGTGAATGTCTACCTCTTACAGGGAAAGATGAAGATGAGAGAGTTAAACTATACTGTTCAGGGTCTACATGAAACCTGGAACTACTTTTCAGATAGCATTCCAAATTGGCACAGTCCCTTTAACTATTTAGAATATGATTAATATTCCCCAATGTTAGCAGAGTGAACAAAACATTGTTTACTTGGGTTTAAGAAAACTTCTGACTCTGGATAACTATTTTACAAAGTAAAATGGATTTCAGCTGCAAATTCCTAGGACAAAAGTGGCAGGTGAAAGTAGTATAGTATACCACCAGAAAGGTAGTTTTGCCAGCCTGTGAAAATGTTGGCATCTGAAAATTAGCTTCACTAATAACTGGGGTTACTTTTCTTGGGCCTGTTTTTTAAAGCTTCCTCACGCACCTCATGGTTTTTAGGTAGGTCAAAGGCAGTCATTTATCTGAAATCGAGAGTCTACTCATACAATAGGGGGTGAATAACCGTACTATAATGTCATAATACATAATAGATGTAAATATTGTACTGAGCTCTACACAACATATAAACAGAGATATTCACGAACCTAGGAGTTTAGTTTGAGGTTGTACATAGGCTAATCAATATCAGCTTGAGAGACAAGTGTGCAACTTCCTCAGGAAAGCAGATGCAGGGACAAGAACATGCTCTCAAGTTCACATTTTGCTGCACACAAAAATATTTTATTAGAATGCTCAGAGCTCTCCCAAAACTATGAAGCAAGTAAAAGGAATAAAAGATTTAATAAGAGGCTTACATCTTCAGCACTGCATTATTTCACATCTAATTACATTTTGATCCTGTATAAAATACTTTGTTATACAAAGACCATTTGTGGTAGTGTACTCCAAAATATATCAGATTTAAATAAAACATTTACATATGTGCCAACAGTGCAATATGCACTTAGATTAAAAATTGACTTCCTGAGCAAACCATGTTTTGTATTTAATCTAAAGCATGATTCTTCACTTGAATGCACTATGTAATAAATTTCTTTACAATTCCAACTTCACTGTTAAAACAGTTTTGACAGGAGTCTGGCTTTACCACTTCACTTCTAACTATTAAATGTAAATCTGTACCACAAAGAGCAATCAGCTAGTTATTTACTGCTACAGGTAAATAACTGATACTGCAGTATCAGTCATCGTAGTTTGGAAAAAGATAGTAGAATTGCAACAGAACAAGGCTGCCCACAGAGAAGCAAACTGAAATTCATGCAAGCAACTCCCTTTAGTACTAACAGGAGTCCTATATTCAAGGGAAACCTATGTCAGACTCTGATAAAATTAACTTTCTGCTCTTAAAAATGTTGTTATATAAGCTAATGGAATGTTGTTCAAAAGAATAACAGTTTTTTCTTAAGTATTTTTTCAAAAATGACTTTAAAAGATAACGTTTATGCCTTTGCTGCAGTACACATTTTTTTAGGAAGTACTCATTGACAATAAGTCACAAGCCTTCTCAGACCTTAAAATAAAACACACAAATTTGACTTGCATGAGATGTAACTAAACAAAGGCTCTCAGTATATAATGCCACAGAGCAACATAAGTAGCGATGTCTCTTTACTTGTATTTTAACAGTATAGAACCCTTTCAGATATGATCAAATCTGACCATTATAATCTATTACCAAAATATTAGCAATTTAATATTTTCTTTTGTCTGCTCATGTGTGTATGCAATGAGTCACACTTACTGAAAATAACTAGTATGCAACATATCTTTTGAAAATCCCAAACAAGCTCATTTCATGTTATTCAGCTTGTTAATAATTCTCTTGAGTTTTTTATTGTGATGAAAGGATCAATCTCTGACATTACAAAGCATTAACATTTTGTAATTCCAAAACTAATCATTGACATAGGGGACAAGAGGTTAGTTAAGGCAAGCAAAAAGAGCAAGCCTAAGTTCGTTCAGAGCACAGAATTGTATTCTATGCTTAAAGAGTTCCAGATCCTACACAGATACGATTTCTATTAAGGCACCTTCAAAGTAATGTTGAAATCCTAGATTAAAGCAATCTCAACTGTTTCTAAACTTCAACTGTTTAATGTTTTGACCCATTATGTTTGTAGAAGTTTTTATAACTATTTCTAAAACAAAATGTTAAATAATTCCTACTTGTATAGCTAGTTTGGTCTTCTCTGGAAGAAATTTTGCATGATCAAATTCTTCTGAGCGCAGCCACTTTATCAAACAATTCAGAATAGCTCCAAAATAAAAATTCACAGGATCAAAGTGTACTTCCACCTGCCAAATTTTAGACCACTTGAGCCTTAAAATGCAATTTTTGTATTGTCAAGTTTTACAATTTTTAAATAAAAATACAGTCAGTTAACCATGTTTGCCTCATTTAACAATAAACTGCATTTGCCCTCCTTAAAATCTGCAAGACATCAGAATTTCTAAATTGAGAAAGTGTTTGTAAGTACTGCATCTTTTAAAAATATGTCCATTTCTCAGAATCACTTGTTTATACTGTACACTTGGACAAGATGCTGTTTAAATACAAAATATAACATTGAAGAGAAGTATTTTTCACTCAAGTCTCTTTTGCTGCCAAAGCCTATCCATTTACTCATATGGTGAAATAATTATGAGTGGAGGATAACAGTGAGAACCTTGCTTCAGGGGGCAAATATGATGGGATTTAGTGTAAGTTATAGGCACTATCTTAATTCATATTTTAATAAATCCCTATAAAGGAATACATAACTACCTCCACTTTCCTCTTTAAACAAAAATTAGTACGTTCAAACCTAATTTCCCTCTTCACTAGCTGTAACTTTCTTAGGAAAAATTTAGGTGACTGCTTAAATGCAGGGACCAGCCTTCTTCAGGGGAAGAAATTTAAGAGCACAAGAGGCTGACAAGGATCATGGGGGCAGTAAGGTACTTCCAGTAGCTGCACCCTCACTGCAGGCCAAATTTCTCTTCTAGATGCCACAGGGTTTCCCTCTGAAGTGTTGTGGGAGTGAGCTGAAAAAGAGTGGTGCTTCTGAAGCCCTCCTACATATTACCGAATGCATCCACTCAGACACCTGAAAACACCAGCTGTTTCAACTGAGGAAAACCAGTTTTCTGCACTGTAAGATGTAACTAGGAGAGTGACATTTCCTTAATAATACAAAAAAGATATGGAAGGAAATGCTACATCCCTTGGATTGTTTTCTCATACAAGTAGTTGAACAGAAAAAGACATGTTATTTAGCCAATTTCTAATTATTCAAATTTAAGCAGCTAATTATTACACAGGACAAGGACTTCTGTCTCAACAACTGGATTGTGTTTAGGCATCAGAGCATAGCTCACTTATACACAAAGTGACCTCAAGCAAGCTTTTGAAGTACATTTAAAGAGAGGGCTTATGAGCCTATTGACTGGATTGCAGCAGAAAATGAGACCCAGTCTGAACTTTGGGCCTTACTTGTAGTAAAGTAAATTTGCTTATACTCAAAAAGGATGAATTTAATAAACTGTTTGGTTGTGCACGGATTGTGAAAAGCTCACAAACTTCTATTAAATGTCTTTGCAATCTCACCACTTGATGTCTATTATATAAGGCAGTAGTTATAGTGCAAAAAAAGTTCAACATAAGCAATGCCCTATCAGTCAACGAAGCTTAATTTAGTACATCTTTCTAGTTAGTCAACAGTAGCTCTCAGCCCAATATATTCATTTTCCTTTCAGAAAGTCTCACGCTGATCTAAGGAAAAAAGTAGTTTGAACTTTATATATGGAAAAGGTTTTACACACAGAATTTACACCAGCCATACACTAAATATGTATTCAGTGGTATATATTATGAAGTGGGAAGTAGATCTCTTCAGTTGATAGCCATAAACTGGGATATTAAGATAGCCCATGTAGCATGTACCATTAAATATATTATAAATAAAGCATGAAACAATATTTATTTTTAAAATTAAACATGCTGAAGCAGATGCTTTCACATAGCAAATTATAGTCAACTGTACTCATTTATCTCATGTTTGTCAGAACTGCACCTTAACAGCAATCGTTAATGAAAAACAAAACAGGTTATATTTAAATAGAAAAAAGTGCAAAGCCTTTCAAAAATACCTGTTTACATACACATTTATACCATGACAACCTCACATTAAATCTGGTAATGTCATCTGTCAACATGCTTGACAGTTTAAATGACCCACAGAAGGATTATCTCCTATGTAAATATGGCAGGTTCCCACAACTATTTAAATAAAGGAAGCAAAGCATCCTTGTACTTTAATACTGCCCAAAAAGAAGGAATGTATACATCAGTAATATCTATTCTTTGCATTCCAGATGCATTTCGCATTCTATACTGTTTCTCTCTTCATGTGAAAGTTATGTTATATGTCTATGAACAACAGTCTCCTGGGACTTTCCATTGTAATGCTGAAGCTCCTCCTCACTCTCAACATTCATAATGTTTGCTGGATTTATTCCATTTTCAATTTGTTTTTGTTGCGATGGTGCTGTGACTAGTGAGTGGGCAGATTCCATTGTAGAATGGTGACTAACGTCCACTTTCACTAAAACCTCATAATATAAGAGATAAAAAACTGGAGTTATTATGCCAATCACCAACATTATCACCACTGCTGTCCACCATCCTATGCCCCAGTCTGCTCCGTAATAGGGATCTTTCCGCTTTTTGGTTTTAGCATCAGGTTCAAAGCATATCTGCTGTGCGGATAAGGCAGAAACAACTTCATTAAGATTCTCTCTTTTTGTATCATTGCACTTTACTATTTGTTCTATATCGCGATCCACTTCTTTCAAGAAGTTGCCTACAGTCTCATTACAGGAAAATGAATCAGAAGCTGGTGATGTTCCTTGGAATTCTGGGGAAAACTGAGTAGATGATAAAGGTCTTGAAACTTGCTTGCCTTTTGGAGAGCAATGCGTTTCAGTCAATACACTGAACTTCTTCACTGGAATTTTGATAGATCTCAGTGCAAAAAAATCCTGGTCAGTGATAAGATTATTAACCCTCTTGATGTCTGCAACCTGAAAAAAAAAATTAATTAAAGCAATGTAGTTTAAACAATATGAAAGGTTTATTAAACCTGAAGAAGAGCTCTAGCCTCCCTGAGTGACAGGGTACACCCCTAAAAAAGGAAATCCCACATTATAAATGGAACCCAATCGAAAATATTTTTATGCAAGACATGGAATCAAAGAGTTCCAAATACAAACAAAATTTTTGAAACAGACAAGAACTGAAGTACAGACTGGAAGGCAGGAACTGTATTCTAATGCAAATAATCACCCTGACTCCCTCTGAACTTGGGGGGGAAATGTCACTCAACCTGTGTCTCAATAACTATTTATGAAAATGGAAATAATACTCCTCTCTCCCTTTCAAAGAAATGATGACCATTAGTTTATGAAGTGCTTTGCAAAAGGCATACTATTACTGTCAAATGTGGTTTGGTTATTCTAGACCGGGGGTAGGCAACCTATGGCATGCGTGCCAAAGGCGGTAGGTGTGCTGATTTTCAGTGGCACTCACACGGCTCGGGTCCTGGCCACTGGTCCGGGGGGCTCTGCATTTTAATTTAATTTTAAATGAAACTTCTTAAACATTTTAAAAACCTTATTTACTTTACATATAAAACTAAACTATTGTTATAAGTCTATATATATATATAAGAGACCTTCTAAAAACATTAAAATGTATTACTGGCACACGAAACCTTAAATTAGAATGAATAAATGAAGACTCGGCACACCACTTCTGAAAGGTTGCCGACCCCTGTTCGGGAACATCTAGGTAGATAGAAGTTCTCCTACTTTACAAAATTACCCTCATTCATCTAGTATAGTTCTTTCTTCTCTGCCTCTGTATTGCCAAGTGCAACAATAGGCATAACTCAGGGCATTAAGTCTTCCTTTGCCCCCCCTCTTTCTTTGAGAAAGGGCAGGATTTCCTACAGATTTAAGAGCTCTACTTATTAACTCTTGCAAAAAATATTCCAGAACAGGTTATATTACAAACAGCTACAAACAGTAAGCTTGTGAAGGGTACAGAGAAGAGGGAGAGGAGAGAAAATGATTAAAGAAGGGGTAGTTTAAAAAAAAAATTTTTTTTTCAGTTAAATCAAGCGTTCAGATACTTAACTTTTTAAAGCTTTTCATCTTACAAGATGAAGGAAGGTTCCTCAGGCTTGGTCTCTGTAGACAGGCTCTCTTCCCTCCCCACCAATCCCACCCCGAGAATAGGAGCAAAACATCTGAGAACAAGTAAATAAGGTTTCTGCTTCACTCACCAAGTTTTTGTATTTTTAAATAACTGCTTTACAATCAAAATGGCTAGAGAGTTGAAAGTTTACATTTTGCATAAAAAAAAGCCATATAAGAACACCTCTGAGCATTCCCTAGAAAATTGTTTTTTATTGACCAAGTTATGAGCTTTTGAAAGCTGCATGAGCAAATGTAGCTCAGATTTTGTACAAGTTTCTCACTACTCTGGTCAAGAAGGCTATACTACCACACACGTACAGATAGTTTAACTACAAAGTGAGAAGTGTACTGAAGGTTCCCTTTAGCTGAGGCAAGAGCTCTGCAGAAGCCCTTGGCTCAATACTAGTAGACTATGCAAGAGTGCCAAGAAGCTAAACACTACTCATGCAAGTTAAAATGCTAAAACTGGAGATGTTGCAAAGTTGGCAGCACCCTAAGGCTCATGTAAGAAGAGAGTGTTCTCTTGGCCTTCCTAAAGTGCATAGGGAGGGAGGTAAGTGGTGTCTGGACAAATAGCTCCTAGTGATGTTATTTACATGTGCTAATACCCATTTATGGCTAGTCTTCAGAATTTCAGAGTCCTGGAGAACAAAGTTACTTATTTTCTCTTATCTATTTTTCTTTTTAAAAAATTAAAGTACCATATGAAAACTTTTAGTGAGCACTGCTGTTATACTGTTAGGCATCCAAATCAAGAAACGTCTCCATACAGGTTGCTCTATTACAAGTCTGCCCACTTGTGGCTATGCACTGTGGTACAGACTTCAGATGCAGCCTCACCTTCTCTCTCAGACACACCACACTTTTTTCCAAAATGCATAATATCCAGGAAATGCTTTCAAGAATATAATCTGTAAAATGTGGTATGAAGATTTGGAATGAAAATGTGACTGCAATACACGACTTACAACATTAAGTCCTTTTGTTGTGTTCTTATGTGCTGTTGAAGAGTTGTCACATATCACCCCAGAGAGAGCTATAGTTCAAAGATGTGCAATGTCAGCATATTTTACACACAGTAAAGTTTTTAAACATTCTAGGTTCCATTTGGATGAAAGGTGCTACTGTATATACATTCAAGATCATTACAGCCAAGCCAATAGTTTAAAACACTAAAACCTTTTTCTACATTGTAAGGCATATACTAATATTTTGTGGCATTTCTTTAAGTCATTCATTCCCAGTACCTTTTCCAGGTCCGAAGAGGAGCTCTGTATGGCTCAAAAGCTTGTCTCTCTCACCAACAGAAGCTGTCCAATAAAGGTATTACCTCGCACACCTTGTCAGCCTTAACTTGCACATTTCTTGATTTCTGGGGCTTAAATGTCACGCAACTTAGCATTCGTGTTGTGTAGTTTGTGTAGGGAACACGCTGGGTGTCCCGCTGGGCCTGAGCGGCTCGTGGGCAAAGATACAAACCGCGCTGGGGACCGCTCTGTACACGAGACTCACCGAGCAACAATACTGCAGCGCTATCGCGTTTAAAGTCTCGCCTTCCTGGATGTCCTTCGTTAGTAGCACAATATCATCCAGCCGGTCTCGCGAGGTACTTCGTCGGACCTTCTCCCTCCCTCTTGGGCGCAGCTCGGACACTTCCCCGTCCTCCTCCTGCGCCTCGCTGTCCGCCTGGAGACCGTTTCCAAACGGGTACGCGCGGCTGCTGCCCGCGGCGGGCAGGGCTCCGGCTGGGGGCTGGCTCCTCCCGGCCATTCTCTCGGGAAGCCTCTAACGACAACAGAGAAACACCTGCCACCCGGGGCAAAGCCTTCAACCGCGCCCCTCGCCCGCCCCGCGCCCCTCGCCCACCCGCTGCGCTGCCTCCGGGCGCCCAGCCGGGGCCTGCGCACGGCGCTGCTCATGTGGCGCTACACTGGGGGCGGGGCGAGGCTCTGCCCCCCCGATGCCAGGGGTCGCGGGGCTCAGGGCGGCCGTGCCGGTCCCTCTCCGCGGGGGGCAGAGGGCGGCCCGCAGGGAACAACACTTACCTGCCGCTCCCCCAGGAACTCTTCATGGCAATGGCGCCGGGCGGCCGCCGTTCATCAGCGCCTTCCGCGCGGGGCGGCCTGTCGCGGCCGCCACGTCTGCAAAGCAGCCCCGCCCCCAGCGCTCTTAAAGGGGCCTGCGCGTCGGGCTCAGCCGCGCATGCGCATTGAGTAAGGGACGCTGTAGAGCGGGAGTCTACTGTTCCCTGGGCTCCGGGGGCGGGAGCTGCTCGCCGAGGAGCGTACAGCTAGCGCAGCCGCAACAGGGCTAGAACAGGCGTGCCCCCGGGTCCCGGGTTCCCCTAGCCAAGCGCTGGGGCAGGGCGCCTGGCAGCGGTGCCCATTCCGAGTGTCTAGAGATCACGAGACTGGCCCCAGGATCCTGGGGGATTGCAAGAGATACCAGTCGGGGTGGGGTGATTTTGGCCCCAAAGCAGGCACGGTGTCTGGACCCGAGCTCAACTGCAAAGTTATGCCCACGTTATAAAATGCTGCTGGATGGTGCGGAGTCTCCAGCCTCAACCCGGCCCTAAACAATTCGAGTGAGTTAACTTGGTGTCCCAGGTCTGCCCAGCAGAGCTGTAGCTAGGTATTTTTGTGCCTGAGGCAAGAATATAAAATTTCGCCCTCCCCTAGGGCCAGCTCTTCGGCGACAATTCAGCGGTGGGTCCCTCGGTCCCTCTCGGAGGGAAAAGCTTGCCGCCGAAGAATGAATGAAGGGGCGGTGGTAGAGCCTGTGATTTTGGGGGGCGGTCAACTCATGATTTTTGACTGCTTGGGCTGGTAATGTTGCTTCCAAGATGTTCTTTGGTTCCAGTCCAGTTCTAATCCAGAGAGGGACTCACAGGTTAAGAAAGGAGGGAAGTGCTGGATATCAGCAGTGGCCACTAGGGATCAGCATGTGTCCTGAGAATGCTGGGAGTTCAGGTTTGCAGGGCAGGATCAGGGGTGGTAGGTTTGTAAAAATTTTGGTGGTGCCCAGAACCCGCCCCCACCCAAACTCTGCTCCCCCCACCCGCCCAAGGCTCTGGGAGGGAGTTTGGGTGAGGGAGGCAGTCTGGGGTGCAGGCCCTAGGCTGGGGCAGGGGATTGGGGTGCAGGCTCTGGGAGGGAGTTTGGGGATGGGAGGGGTTGTGGAGGGAGGGGGTGCATGTTCTGAGAGGGAGTTTGGGGATGGGAGGGGTACAGAGGGATGGGGTGCAGGGGTGAGGGCTGTGGGTTGTGGCTGCAGATGAGGGGTTTGGAGTGTGGGGGGGCTCAGGGTGAGAGTTGGGGTGAGGGCTCTGTCGGGGACTGGGAATGGGAGGTTTGGGGTGTGGGAGGGGCTCAGGGCTGGGGCAGAGGGTTGGGGTGTGGGGGCTCTGGCTGGGACTGGGGATGAGGTGTTTGGGGTGCTGGAGGGGCTCGGGCAGAGGGTTGAGGGTGCGGTGGGGGGGCAGAGAGAAAGCTCTGACTGGGGGTGTGGGCTCTGGGGTGGGACAGGGCTGGGGATGAGTTTGGGGTACAGCCAGGCTGCTCCAGGACAGGGGCCAGAGAGGAGGACTCCCCCAGCCTTTTCCCTGCCGGCAGCAGCAAGCTCTGGGGGAGGAGCCCCCCTTTCCTGCCCCCCCCCCAGCAGCACACTGTCACTGCATGTGCTCCTAGGGCCCCTCTCAGATCCAGGAATCCACCACAGGGGAGGCGAGGGAGTGCTGGGGGGCGCTGTGTGCGTCTCCTCTCCTGCTGTTGCCCCTGACTGTAGCCTCACTGGGGGTGAGGGATGAGGCTGTCTCCTTGCCCAGCATGGGGCAGGAGCGGTGACTGTGTGCGGGGGGTGAGGGCTGTGCTGCTGGAGGGTCCCATTGAAAAATGAAAGGGTCTGAGGGGGAAGGACAGGCTCAGAGTCAGTCTGAGCTCTCAGAGTGAGATGGAGGGCACTAGGACCCTGCGGCAGCAGTTGCTGCAGGGAGGCAGCATGGAGCTGCTCTGGTCCGGGAAGGCGGGGGAAGCAAGTCAGGGCTGGGGGACACTCGGGGGAGGCGCGGGGGGTGGCAGGTGGGGCTGGGGGGAGATCACCTGGTTATAAATATCTCTGTGTCAGCAGCTTTTTTTTTTCTCCACCACTTTTTGCACCCCTCGGCTTTGTGCGCCCGAGGCACGTGCCTCACTCGCCTTGCCCTTGTTACGGCGCTGCTGCTCAGTGCCCCAACCCAGCCGTGCATGGGCTGAGGGTCTCAGTTAAGGGTGGGAAAGGAGGTTTTGTAGGTGGCTGATTAGCAGAGTTTCTGTTAAAATGGTCATTTTCATTATTTTATTAGAATACTAATGATATATTAGGTCATCTAGAGCCTTGTATAGGTGTCTTAATTATTTAAATATAAATAAAATACATTGCAATGTGGTAACATTGTTGTGACGGGTTGAATCACAGAAACCCCATTGAGGCTGCCAACTGATGTGCCAAGACTACTTCTGCCCCTGCTTTCCCTGCCAGCTCGGGACCCCAGCACCCTGTCTTGCTGAGCCAGACACGCCCGTGTGCTCCAACACAGACCCAGGGTCTGAATTACTTTCCCCAAAGCTGCAGACTTAACTGAAAGCAGCTTACAGAAGTGTTCTTGTCTTTAACTCTCAGATGCCCAACTCCCAATGGGGTCTAAACCCAAATAAATCGTTTTACTCTGTGTAAAGCTTATACAGGGTAAACTCATAAATTGTTCACCCTCTATAACACTGATAGAGAGATACTACCCCCCAGGTATTAACACATACTCTGAGTTAATAAGTAAAAAGTGATTTTATTAAATACAGAAAGTAGGATTTAAGTGGTTTCAAGTAATAACAGACAGAACAGAGTGAATTAACCAGTAAAATAAAATAAAACACGCAAGTCTATGTCTAAGAAAACTGAATACAAATAACACCTCACCACTTCCAGTAAGCTTCCTTTTACAGACTAGTCTCCTGCTAGTCTGGATCCAGCAATCACTCACACTCCTTTGTTCCAGTTTCTTTCAGGTATCCTTGGGGGTGGGGAGGCTTTCTCTTTAGCCAACTGAGGACCAAAATGGAGGGGTCTCCCACGGGCTTAAATAGACTGTCTCTTGTGGGTAGAGACCCCCCTCCTCTCTCCTATGCAAAGTCCTGCTCCAAGATGGAGTTCTGGAGTCACCTGGGCAAGTCACATGTTCATGCATGACTCATGGTTTTTACAGGCAGAAGCCATTGCCCACATGGTATCTTGAATGTCTCCAAGGCCTGGTCCACACTAACCCCCCACTTCGGACTAAGGTACGCAAATTCAGCTACGTTAATAACGTAGCTGAATTCGAAGTACCTTAGTCTGAACTTACCACAGGTCCAGACGCTGCAGGCAGGCTCCCCCATCGATGCCGCGTACTCCTCTCGCTGAGCTGGAGTACCGGTGTCGACGGCAAGCACTTCCGGGATCGATTTATCGCGTCTAGACAAGACGCGATAAATTGATCCCAGAAGATCGATCGCTTACATCCGGACCAGGAAGTAAGTATAGATGTACCCCAAGAAGACTTCTTATGTGGATTGGAGCATTCCAAAATGCATTGTTCCTTAAGTTTCTTGATTGGGCACTTAACTTTGCGAATTCCTTTCTCCAGGACCTGACCAAATGCTCTACTAAGGTTATTTAGAAATCAAGCCAGTACACGGCCAATATTCATAACTTTGAATACAAAAATGATACATGTATACAAATAGGATTAATAGATTAAGTAGATCATAACCTTTACATAGATATGTTACATGCATATGTAGCACAGAACATATTCCTGTTATGTCATATATATTCATAAGCATATTTCCATAAAGCCTTATGTGGGGCGCCATCACAATTGTAGAATAAGGTCGTGCTGCAGTGTGATGTTTAAATGACAACAATGTAATGATGTTTTGACAATAGATTTTTCCAGGAAGCATTGCTTGAAGGATGTGAAATTGCCTCAGGAAACTGGGGATGGCTCAGACAAAATTCTGGATACTCTATAGTAATCCTAAGCCTTTTAGAAACTCTTAAGAGAAATTATGCCAATAAGAAAATCAGAAGTAGCAAGCATCAACAGAGATTTTCTATCCAGAGCAGGTGCACTGTGGAAGTGTATGATAGGAGCAAAATATGTGTTGGGTCCAAGGAAGGGCACAGGCAGTGCAGGAGTGATTCTGCACCATTTTAAAGCAAGCATAGTGGCACACTGCAGAGCTCATTTGCTAGCAGTGTTAATGGATAATTGTGCATGTCCAGTACCAAATTGGGAGTGATCAAAATAAGCTAATTTATGGGCATCTTCATCTCAGCATTAGGTGTAACAGTACGTCTTCACTACCTGCCGGATCGGTGGGTAGTAATCGATCTATCAGGGATCGGTTTATCGCATCTCGTCTAGATGTGATAAATCGATCCCCGAACGCGCTCCCCGTCGACTCCGGAACTCCACCAGAATGAGAGGCAGAAGCAGAGTCAATGGGGGAGCCACGGCCATCGATCCCGTGCCGTGAGGACCCGAGGTAAATCGATCTAAGATACGTCGACTTCAGCTACGCTATTCTCATAGCTGAAGTTGCTTATCTTAGATCGATCCCCCCCCCAGTGTAGACCAGCCCTAAGATAGCTCTAGCTACCCAGAGCCATCTTTAAACTACTATAACCCCTTAAATGAACTTAGGGAGCTTAACAATGTTATGTTTCCCCATGGTCCTTTTTCTTCCTTGCAGAGTGTATTTGGTAGCATCTTCCCAATACTTAGCCAAATCATTAGATTCGTTGTTTTAAGAGCTATTTCTTGTTATGGACCAGATCTCTAACTGGTGTAAGCTATCATAGCTCCATCAGAGTCCCTCTGTGTATAAGCAGCTTTCATGCACCAGTTTCAATTGCTAGTCAGCTTACCTAAATGAACTTGTTTCTGCCCTAATATGCTCTTCTGTAATACAAGCAACAGCAAATGGTGGGAAGATTAAATCCTCCTCCAACTACATTAATAGAGAGTGTAGGAAGCCTTATGCAAGCTGACAATATTGGGTTAATTATCTACAAACCAAGATTTTCTCATGGTCTCTCCAGATGACAGAAAATAGTAGTAACAAGGGA